AGGTAGGAAGACTCATCCTTAAAATAGGTGGTGCCATCAATGGACTGGGATCCCAGACTTAATGAAAAGGCCAATGTGAACTGAGTCCCAGGATTTATCTCTCTCTCTCTCTCTCTCTCTCTCTCTCTCTCTCTCTCTCTCTCTCTCTCTCTCTGCTTCCTGACTATGAATGCTACATGATTGTTTGCCTCCTGCTTTTGTTACCATGCCTTCCCCACCATGATTTACAACAACCTCACACAGTGAGTCAAAATAACCCTTTCCTTTGGTTGCTTCTGTCAGGTGTTTATCACTAATACAATTAGCACACAAATCAGGGTGACTCTGTACAAGCAATAAGGACATTTATTGTGTGTGTCTTCTCTCACACACTGCCCTGCCTGGCCCTGTCCCCCAGCTGCCCTCAAACTGCTCTCTTCTCTTCACAGGGTGAGTTTCCATGTCTCCTCTACTGTTCTATGCATTCTTCCACCTAATTCTCGTCCCCACTTCTCATGATCCCCTGTATGGTTCAGTGACCCCATATAGAAATACACACACACACACACACACACACACACACACACACACACACACCTGTACAACATGGATACAATTTTAACCCAGTTTCCTCATTTGAAAGAAAACATGATGCTTGCCTTCCCGAACCTGCTTTATTTTATTTAACGTAATGATCTTCAGCAGACTCCATGATCTTGTTTTTCTTCATGGATGTATAAAATTCTGTTAAGTACACACATCACATTTGCTCCATTCTTCCGTGGGCAGACATCAAGGCTGGTTTAGTTTCCTGATATTTATGACTAAGGTAGAAATAAATATGGGTGGGCAGACATCTCTGTAGTATGTTGACTTCCAGTCCTCCAGATACGTACCAAGGAGTGATTGATATAGCTGGGTTGTATGGTAGTCATATTTTCAATTTTTTGAGAAACCTCCATACTGATTTCTATGAAGGCTGGTACAAGTTTACACTCCCACCAGCAGTGTTATGGATTCCTCTCTATCCACATCATGACCAGCATTTGTTGTTACTTATTTGTATATCCATTTAGATTGTGATAAGATAGGATTTCATAGCAGTTTTAATTAACATTTCCCTGATGGCTAAGACTACTGCACACCTTTTCAACTATTTAATGGCCATTTGTGTTTCTGGTTCTGAGAATGGCCTATTCAGTTCCTTAGCTCACATATTGTTTGGAGGATTTTTGTTGCTTTATTTTCAGTTCTTTATACTTTCTATGTAATACTCTTCTGTTTGGTGCACACGCTTTTCCCCATTCTTCATGATGTGTTGTCACACTGTAGAGTGTTTTCTTTGTCATACAGAAGCCTTTTAATGTCATGTAGTCCCGTTTGTTAGTTCTCTAGATGATTTCCCTTGCTACAGAAGAGTTTTTCAGCAAATCTTTGCCTATGTCTATATCTGTAGTGATTTCCTCATAGCAGTGTTCAAGTTTCTGGTCCAAGGTCTTTGATCTATTTAGAACTGATTTTTGTGCAGGGTGAGAAAGATGCATCTGGTTCCATTCCTCAACAACTAACTAGACATCAGTTTTCTCAGCATCATTTGTTAAAGAGCATGTCTCTTCTATAATAGGTTTGTTTGTTCTTGAGACAAGGACTCGATCTTCTCTGTAATTCGTTTGTTTGTAGTTGAGATAAGGACTCACTATGTAGCCCAGGCTGCTCTGGAACTCACACGGATCTGCCTGCCTCTTCTCCCAGAGCACTGGGATTCAAGGTGTGTACCACCATGAATCCCAGTTGTGATGTATGCTTTTGACCACTTTGTCAGAATAAGGTGAATCACACCATGTGGGCTGATTTCTAACTTCTATTTAACTGGTCTACATGTCTTTCTTGACACCAGCGCCATTCTGCTTCTTGTGGTTTCATTGTTGTTATCACTCTATTATATATTCAGAGATTGGGTATCATGATGCTCTCAAGTGGATTTTAGGATCTAAGGATCGGTTTTGCTACTTGATATCTTCCATGCTTCCATAGGAATTTCAGCATTGTTTCTTCTAATACTGTGAAGAGTATCATTGAGATTTTGATGCAGATTGCATCAAATCTGTGGACTGCTTTGGTAAGACAGCCCCTTTTACAGTATTAATTCTGCCAATCCATGAGCACAGGAGGTCTTTCCATGTTCTAGTGTCCTCTTCATTTTCTTTTTTTGTGTTGAAGATTCCACTGTGGAGGTCTTTTACCTGTTACACTTATTCCTGTAGATATAGTTAAACAACTGTAAGTGGGTTTTCTCTCTGATATCATTCCTTTACTGTTTGAAGTCTTCAAAAGTATCCAAAGTTTCCTGCCAGAATGTTTCCCCCATTAAATGCTACACACCTTGCTCATAAATTCTCCTTTTTGCCTTTGAGATTTTCAATAGTGTGATCACTGTTAGGTATGAAAGTCTGTGTAGTCGGCAATGATAGGTAAAGAATGATGTTCTTACATAGTAGTGAGATTATCTGCCTTTCCCTGTGGGTCATGCCTGCAGGTAACCTTGCTGTTGGTGTGTTTAGTTATGAAGCTGCACTTTTTGGGATGAGCTGACTCATGTGCAGTGTCTTTTAGTATAGCTAAATGCCAAGCATCACATCAGCTCCTCTTTCTCCTCTTCCTCTTTCTCCTCCTCCTCTCCCCTTTCCTCCTCCTCCTCTTCCTTTTTCCCCTCCTTCTTTTGCTTTTGCTGTGTGTGTGTGTGTGTGTGTGTGTGTGTGTGTGTGTGATCTGTTTAAGTGCAGGCACTCACATACCAAGGTGTATGTGTGAAGGTCAGAAGACAATCACTCCTTGCCTTTTGCTCTGTGTGAGACAGGATCTCTTACAGTTCACTGCTGCAGATGCCAGGCTAAGTGGCCCTCAAGCTTCTGTGGATTCTCCTCCTGTCTCACTACAGTGTGTATGGATTTTAGATACACACTACTGTATCCAGCTATATGTGGATTCTGGGGTTCAGGCCCTTTATCCACTTAGCTGTTTCCCTTGCTCCTTACCATTCAACAGCTCCTCTTGAATGAAGAGAGAGATACAGTGAACCAGCCTTTCCTCTGCCAGGTTCAAATTTACTGAAGCTCACTGCCTGCATGGCATTTTGTGATCTGAGGAGGCATGCTGACGCCACTGATTCCTGTGTTCTGTAGATCTATGTGTAGCTCTGTCTCCTTTGATCTACATGTTGCATCTAAGAATAACCCCTAATGCATCAAGGGAGATAGAGAAATGGAAGAGAGCAGAGGTGGAAATAAGGTAAGGCCAAGCAAAGTAAAAGAGGCTGAGGCAGAGTGAACAAAAAAATAAAGGTACAGGATACCCATTTCAACTTAAATTTAAAAAATACTTAAAGTTAAATCTTTAGAGAACAGAGTCCGTGACTCCAGTGGAAATATGGGAGTCAGATTTGGTCAATCTGTCTGTGAAGGAGGGATGCGCTCTGTGGCCAGTGATGATCATCTTCTCCCTTTCAGAGCCCCCAGATACCATGAGAGAAGGCTACACCGTGGGTAACCTCATCCGGTTTGGAGTGGCTGCTGTCACTGTGCTGATAATGGGAGGCTTCCTGCTTGAAGCCTGGCATAGCCAGAGGCTGTCTCCAAATAGACCCTGGTAAAATAACACTCTTTTTTATGGGCTGTTGTGTAATTGCGAGGGTTTTCTCCATCCCGGGTTGACAAAGGTATAACTGACAGATACAAGTTGAGTTGTGTTTACTATGTGCAAAGCAAGGTCTTGACATATTTAATTTTAAGAGTCAATTGTGTATGTGTGTTTTGCCTGAATGTATGTCTGTGTACCAGGTGTGTGTCTGTACAGTGTGCATGCCTGATGCCTGCAGAGGCCAGAAGAGGGTGTTGGGCTCCTTGGAACTGAAGTTCCAGAGCACAAATCATTGTGAGCTACCATATGGGTGCTGGGAATTGAGCCAAGATCCTCTGCAAGGGCACCCAGTACTTTTATCCACTGAGTCCTCTCTCCAGCCCCAGCGTATGTAATCTTCGTGTGTTAAATATTCTCCAATCACCCTAGGGAAAGAAATAAGTAATCAATTATGTACTGAATAAGGAATTTCACTGGTCATGAAAGGGTAGCTACCAAACCTACCCACCAATTCAGAGCTACTTTTGTGGCAAATTTTAATTTGTCTTTCTTTGCCCACAGGCCCCACAATGCCCTGGGGGAATAAGGAATCCTTGGTGAGATTGGACCAAATTATCCCTGTGAATTTCTGTGCAACCACAATGTCAGCTTTTTGAGAATCATCCAGGGACAGGATGATGGCTGCCTCATTCCAACTCTTCACATAGAATGGAGGCCAGGCCTGGGCACAGATGTAATGAAGCTTTCTCTGTCCCAACCTGCCAGCTTCCAAATAACCACTCGGAGACTTATTATTAATTATGAAAGCTCGACCTTAGCTTAGGCTTGTACCTAATGAGTTCTTAGAACTTAAATTAACCTGTATTTTTAAATCAATGTTCTTTTACTTGGTTGGGTTACCTTTACTCTGTGATGCCCATCCTGCTACCTCCACGTCTGGCTGGCAACCCTGTCTTTCTTCTTCCCTGAGACCTCTCTGTCCCCAGAAGTCCCACCTAACCTCTTCCTGCTTAGCTACTGGCCATTCAGCTCTTTATTAAACCAACTACAGGGACACATCTTCTTACAGTATAAAGGAATACTCTGCAACACATAAATGCTTATCTGACACATTAGTGTATATGTATACGTGTGTGTGTGTGTGTGTGTGTGTGTGTGTGTGTGTGTGTTTCCCTTTTTTCTTTTTTCTAACACTTCTTTTCCCTTTGATGTTTTTGAGACAGGGTCTCTCTACTATGTAGCCCTGGCTGTCCTAGAACTTGCTATGTAGACCAGGCTGGCCTTGAACTCACAGACATCCATCTGCCTCGGCCTCCCAGTGCTGGGATTAACAGCATGTGTCACCACCCCCAGCCCCAGTTTGCATTTTCTTAAGACCGTATGTGTTAGGGTTGGAGAGATGGCTCAGAGGTGAAGAGCCCTGGTTGCTCTTCCAGAGGACCCAGGTTCAATTCCCAGCACCCACATGGCAGCTCACAACTGTCTGTTACTCCAGTTCCAGGGGATCAGACACCTTCACTCCAAATGCACATTAAATAAAGTTAAATAAATTTAAGAGAAGAAGAAGAAGAAGAAGAAGAAGAAGAAGAAGAAGAAGAAGAAGAAGAAGAAGAAGAAGAAGATACGTGTTGCCAGATGGTGGCAGCATACTCCTTTGATCCCATCAAAGGCATTTGGAGGCAAAGGCAGGCAGATCTCTGAGTTTGAGTTCCAGGACAGCCAGGGCTACACAGAGAAACTGTCTCAAAAAAACAAAACAAAACAAGAACATACATGTTGAGAATCTTCTCTGGCACTGTTGGTTATCTAGACTATATAAATTATATATTTGCCTCTATATACACTATATTTATTATATGTTTCTTACATATATGTTTATATTCTTTTTTTAAAGATTTATTAATTTTCACGTGTATGAGTGTTTTGACGGTGGTAAGCCAGCATGTGAGTGCTGGAAAACGGAGCAAGGTCCTCTCCAACAGTAGTCAGTGCTCCTAACTGTTGAGTCATTGCTCCAGCCCTCAAATACATTCTTAGTGAATACTTCATCCATTCTTTTTAAAAGTATCAATGGCAAATAATAGTTTATAGTAAGAGAGTTTGTTGTGATTGTTCAGTATAGACATGTAATGAACTTTGATCCTCTTCACCGCTCTATTATTCTTTCTCATCCCCAGTGTTTCTTCCTCTGTTCCCCTTCCACATCTTTAATGGTTTGAATGTGAAATGGCCCCCCACAGGCTCATGTGCCTGGCCTCCTGCACCCTTTGGGACAGATGGCATGACTGTGTAAGTGGGTCACAGACAGTACATTTTGAGGTTTATAGTTGTGTGATGGGTGGTCTTGACTGTCACTGTCAACCTGACACAATTTAGAATCACCTGGGTGTGTTAATGAGGAGCTGTCTACATTAAGTTGGCCTGTGGTCATGTCTCATGTCTGTGGAAGATTTTCTTTTTCTTTTTCTTTTCTCTCTCTCTCTCTCTCTCTCTCTCTCTCTCTCTCTCTAGATTTACTTATTTATTATGTATATAGCATGTATGACTGCAGGCCAGAAGAGGGCACAAGATCTTATTACAGATTGTCATAAGCCATCATGTGGTTGCTGGGAACTGAACTCAGTACCTCTGGAAAAAACAGTCAGTGCTCTTAACCTCTGAGCCATCTCTCCAGCCCTGTGGAAGATTTTCTTAACTGGGTTTAATTATGGTGGGAAGACCTACTCTGAATTT